GGGGTCACACGGTGTCAAACAGGGTACTCACCTGATTTTCATGTCGACCTCCACACTGTGTTTTTTACTCAAAAGACTTACAAAAGGAGGGGGGTCACGGGCACTCCAGGACTCCTCCCCCTTCCCTAACTACGCCCTTAGGTTTATTGTACTCTAAATTGTTCTTTTAAAACCTTTCGGATCAATATCAGTATCTGAGCAACTGCGCACCTACGCCTCCCTTAACTTAACAACAGTCCACTAATAATAAGTCAGGGCAGGAACCTATTACCCTGAGCCTCCATACCAATTGTAACCTTGAATCAACCCTGTCTCGTATCTTTCTATTTTTAGAACTGAGATATTGGGGAGGGGTTCTTTAATTTCCCGCGAAAACACGCTGACGTTCGCATAACACCCTACAAAAATGGCGGCCAAAGGCGAAGGCTGACCTCTATTTCTTCTCTGCATGTAACGTAAACAATAGAGGACCACGGCTCTCTTATGATTGGCGACTATGTAAACACCCGCGAAAAACCCCATGAGAGGTGCTTCTAAAAATAAAAAGATACGGGAAAAGGTTGACTCAGAGGGTAAGTATGGAAGATGGAAGCTCCGGGTAATGGGCTCCTGGTCATGGTTAATGTCGGATTAGGCGAAGAGTACGTGCCCAGTTGCAAAGCTACTGAAATTGATCCAATCCTTTTTGCGACTTGCGAATGATATTAGACACATGTCTAATACATCTTGAGAAAAACTGCAACCACTTAAAGGGAAATTGCGGCTTTGTCAATGGATTGATGTCTAGCATTCGATACCGAGATCAATCAATAGATCACTGAGCATTTTCAGTTTTGTTTCACTGTCAAATTGTCCACTTTCTTCTTCATCTGACGTGATGCTTGGTAGAACGCCTTTGTACAGATGAAAGCGAATGTCGTCCACAACAGGGATGGAGTCCGTCTGTTGGCGATCTCGAACAGAAGATGCATCCTCCAGAATCAGCGCATGAAATTCCTTGTTATCAAGAAACTGCAAATTCAAACAGAACAAAAACGATTTTACTTACCTTATATATGAACTGAACATTAGCTAACATCATTAGTATATAGGCATCATAGAATACCCCTCTTCGGAGAGGAGACGCCAAGGGTTACCACAACGTCCCCTCACTCCCTCCCCTCCCCCTCCACATTTCGTCAGGCTTCCCTGAAAATTCTTTGGTACCCAGTTTTACGCCTGGATGGATGGAGAGAGATACTGAGGAGAGAAAGTGACGATAAAGCGTCTTGCTCAAGAACACAATACAATAACCACGACCC